TCTAATATGCTGATTTGCTGCTCAAGAAACATTACTTATTATTATTATTATTATCAATGTTGAAATCAGTAGTGCTGCATAATGTTTTTGTGAAAACGTTTTTCCCCAGGATTCTTTAATGAATAGAAAGTTCAAAAGAATAGCATTCATTTGAAATCAAACTGATTTGCAATATTATAAATGTCTTTACTGTCACCTTTAATCAATCCAATGCATCCATGCTGAATACAAGTATTAATTTCTTTATAAATAAATGATAACCAAATGAAAAAAAAAAGTCAATTATTCTTCTGCAAGGAAAAACAATGAACTTGATATTGGACATCATTTTATTTATAACCTTTATAGATCAAAAATAAAAATGAATAAAGAATAAGAATCATTGTATGTTTAAATTCCTTTTTCCTCTTGCTATGTTTAAAACCATGTTCTAAAGGAGATTTTCAAGTTGGGGTCTTTTTAGTAGACACATAACCAATAGTGGGCGCTCTTGTTGCAAGGAGTTTGAAGTTCATATGGTTTGTCTTCAGTCAGTGAGAAATGTCCCAGTCATACATGAGTCAGATGATTTGTTCTGTCTGGACAAACTCTGGCCATCTGCATAATGATCTGTGTTCTTCTAGCATTTTTATTTTACAGTTGTGATTATATACTAACAGTAAAGTTCCTTTAGGCACATCTTTTCAAGCTAATGTCAGAACTGACATTTTCTCTCACTCCTTAATACTGGAAAAATCACTATTGAATGTGTATTTGAAAGCCCAACACAGGCCTAGCAGGCAGATTAAAATAAAGGGCAGACTGAAACATTGTTAAACAGTCTCGCAATGACTGCTGCCCTTATTTATTACTAAATATCAGCATTCAATTTTGAAGTGCAATGAAAGGCAGCCCGGAGGAAATGTAAGTATAACACAAGTCATGAGTTTTACCTCACGCAAATAAGCCATGGTCAGCCCAGAAAAGGCACCTTGTGTGCTTAGACATTATCTTCTTGCTTGAGCAGAGGATTTGTCAAGGGTTACATGGGGAATATTTGTTTAGATGTGTCTTACCATAATAGGACCTCTTTGTTCGGAGAGTCAAACATTAGCTCCCTCACAGGAAAGGAAATGTTCTCAGCAACTCTTATATGACATTAAAACCTAAAATAGCTGGTTGCAAAGACGGGTGGCTTTTCCAAAAAAATGAATCTAAGCTTCAAGTTAAAATGGTACTTACTGAGCACATTCCCCAGTTGAGGGTAACACTTCCTTTGCCACTTAACTCTTGCATAACCTCTGTTTATTTGTCTTTGTTTGAACTTGCTTCTAAAGCCGTGTGCAGGAAATGCACAGTGTGGAGACAGTTCAGTTTTTCATATATGGGAAGACAACATTTTTAAACTTTACACACAAATAAGACACCAGAAAGTTAATAGTAATAAGATACAGACACAGCATTAATGTCAGATCATTTATCTTCTAATATACAAAGCCTAATGGCCTATATCATTGGTTCTCAACCAATGGGATGTGACCCAAAAATGAGTCGTATCCTTTCTCACAACAGGCCAGGGAATAAACAAAGCTAAATGCAAATAATGAAATGCAGCTCTGGTCATATACTGTATGTCAAAGGCTGATTGTCCAATCAAACTGTAGTATTTGGATGTAAATTCATCTGTTACATTGTCTATGATTGATTTTAAGTTCATTTTTGTTTAGATTTGTTTGATCAATTTACTGGGGGTTGTGATAAGCTGTAAAAAGGACATTCCCATTAGCTTCCGGTTTTTGTTATCAGCATTTGTGTTACATTTTACAGTTTTTGAGTGAATGTTTGGTGTGTTAATTTTATGTAATCTGTGTTGGTGTTTGGACTTTGTGTCAATGTCCCTGTACTTCATCTATATATGAGTATTGGTCTCTTACAATGAACTCTGATTCATCATGTGGATCATGTGGATTCTAGTGTACAATCAAATAATAGTACCACTAATAGTGATGTAAAATTCCAGTTTTTCGAGATTTTGAATGGTATATTAATATCACTTACATACAGACACTATATTCTATCCCGTAATACCTTTTACTGTGTATATCTGGCAACCAAATCCTCCTGTTTTTACTGTAAATTAAACAGCATATTTTTACAGTGCATATTAAGTTGCAATATGCAGTTGTATAAGAAGCAGCCCAAAACTATAACTCAACATTTTATTGTATTTAAACAGTTCTTATATACAAAACACACATAATGAAGTTAAAATCTGGAATTTCACACTTTTTACAAACACTGGATACTTAAAACTTTAGGGAAGCAAAATTTGAAAGTTGAAAAAGTACAGTAAAACACTGAAAGAGTGTTGAAGTAGACATCCTGTTAATAGTGACAACTCTTGAGATCCTAAGAGGGACAAAACACCAGAGCAGCAAATGTAACTTAAATACTGTAGTTAAATCACCTTCAGTAGCTTGAAATTGCAACTGGAAATAGTTTCTTTGATTATTATTTCCCAAATATAATTTATATCAAATTAATTACACGCCATATGCTTATCTTGATTGCAAGTTCTAACAGCCTTCATACTGTGTCTGCGTTTCTTTTCTGCTATTTAACTTTCAAACTCTCCCAATGGATTTGTGGTCTTAAAAGAGCCTTGAATTAAAGAATCCAGTCAGCTTCTTTATGTGCACAAGAGAAGCCAGAGATCTTCCAGTAAATGCATGTGTTTTGCTCCCACTGACTTCTCGCCAGTCCCTGTTTCCAAATCCCACACAGGTTATAGAGTAATCAAATCTCTTCCTGCCAACTTTCAGTAAGCCAACATGACACTGCTGTGATTATGAGGAAGGACAGAATTTAAAAACCTTTAGGGCACAGAAAAACAGTGTCAATGTTGTTTTGCAAGAAATGAGTCAGTTTTCATTGTAGTCCACAAACAAGAAAGAATGCAACAAAAGGGCTTGATGCTCTCGTTAAAACTTGAAAACTACTTGATAACATATCTCAAGCTTTCCCTTAACACAAAACAAAATTCTGACAAGTGGACACCTGCACTGAAATTGAAACCACTCGTCCTCCAAGAATACTGTGAGTCAGCGACTACCTCTGATGACAAAACCAGATCTCTGGAAAATGGATCAGTCTGTGCCACCTCCCACAACAAATTCTTCTTAGCATTTGCAGACATCACCAGGAAGTCACTTCACACCCCGTTCATGAAGTAGTTCAAAAGAATATATCACAACATGGGCGCAACAAATTGGGGGCTCGTCCGGGATCGCAACTCCAGCTAAAACCAAAAGCACACAGCTGTTCACAGCAGACATTCATCAAGATCCAGATAATAAAACTCAGTCCCCAAACAACATCAGGTTGACTCCTTGTAAAGTCATTAGTTACACAGGTTAGATACATTTCAAGAGGATTAACATCATATTTATACTCATAAAGTACATATGCTGTGCAATAATGACACTTTAAGAATACCATTAATGCATTATTAGTGGTGTTAGGCATAACCAGTGATTTGACCCTTCTCTATATGTCAAAGCTTGTAGCTTAATGTGAAGAGACACATAAAAGCAGAAGAGACAGTTAACATGTACAAAAGTTCCTATTCACACTATGTACAAAAACCCTGCTTAGTTGTTAATGAGAATTTTGTATGTCATCTATAAACTTACAAGTATAGATAAAGCAAAATGTGATTTAAATGTTAGATTAAACATAAAAAAATGAACCTGTCAAGTGACATGAAATTAACTACTTGTTCAAACAGGATGTTCAGTGCAGTTTTGCGATTTATTTTTAGGATGTTGTTTGGGAGATGAGCCAGTGTAATATTGTGCATTGAGTTTATCCTTGAGGAAAGAGGTGAAAATACTCGATAACGATTGATTATCAATCTGCTTCATTTTCTTTGCACTGACAAACTGTAATACCCTCAAATGTTCTTGGCTTTTCTACAATCCAAGGAGTCTTCAAAGTTCCTGTTTCACAGGAAGACAGTAAAATGAGTGATGACAAAGAGAGATTGATGTCATTTTCATTCGCCATGTCTCTAATATAAAGGACTGGATATCGGAGTACATGATTAGCTAACACACGATGCAAAGTACATTTTGCACCATGTTTCTCCTGCACAGTTGTCAAAGTAAAATTGGTTCAAATGAAGTCAAGAAGGCATTTCCTCCTGCAATAGCATGGGAAACGGACTCAAACAATGGCAAAACAGATCAAATTACTGTAAAAGTCACTGTAACATTATGTCTTTAAGGTTCTCCTGAAGAATTGTGTCTTTGACCGCATGAAAGACGAAGCGAATGTTCTCAGTGTCAATGGCAGTGGTGAAGTGGTGGAAAAGTGGCTTGCTGCGGTTGCGACGTTTGCGGTTGAAGCATTGCACGAGATAGGTCTGCACGTCCTCCAGTCGGTGAGGGTCTCCCCGGAAGTCAGAAAAGTGTTTGCAAATGCTGATTTTGCGTACCTTCTCCACCAGAAGGTCCATCTTGTTGAGGAAGAGGATTATGGACACATTGGAAAAGAGCTTGTTGTTGACTATGGTCTCAAAGATGTTCATGGACTCCACCAGGCGGTTGGTGCGGCGATCTTCCATCAGCACCTGGTCATACTCGCTGGAGGACACCATGAAGAGGATGGAGGTGATGCCGTCAAAGCACTGAAACCATTTCTGTCTCTGAGAGCGCTGGCCACCCACATCTACCATCTTAAATGGGATCTTCTTAATGACAAAATCATGCTCCACAATTCCTTTGGTGGCCTTCCTGGCCAATAGAATGTCCTGTCGGCTCGGTACATAATTCTGTAAGAAAAGGTTGAGTAAAACTGAGTCAACAGCAAGTACACTGTTTATCATTAGATAGCATGATTGTTTTTTTAGCACAAATCAAACAGTTTTTAGCAGTTTACTTCTGCTAAATTTATCTTAAATATTTTTATTAACAATCTTATTATTTGCACAGCTCTTTTAGAGTTTTTTTTATGGTTTGCGTTCTACTAGGGTTTTGTTTTTTAACCATTTGTGCAACCTAAAACATACTTAAACATTCTGCTCTTTTTTAAATCTATGTGGTCAAAAGTAAAATAAGAGTGGTTCCCAGGCAATCTTTTGTCATAAACATACAACCTCTTAATGAAAATTGCCACAAGGGCAGACAAAATTTTCTTGAAGCAGTTTTCATAGGCCCCACATCCCACCCAAACTGACATGTATTTGTTTTGTCATTGGCCTTGGTTTCCGTGCTCACACAAAACACTTCCAGGCCTTTTTTTATCACTCATATGAGACACACTATGTGTTCTTGGCAACCTTGGCCAATATCAGTCTCAAAGAGACCATTTTACTTTCATTTTCAGTGTCTCCAGTCTTCAGTGTCACCACCTCTGCTGGGAAACTGAGTATAAAAAACACTATTCTGACTAACTATCTTTCCAGATGACTATCCTTGTTTATTTAATAGATATATCATCATTAAAACATTGAATGATCATATACCATGCAGAACTGGCACTAATAAATAATGCTGTGTTATCATGACTCACCAGTAGTCCAATCCGATCCAAGTTGTCCAGGAAATATTTCACTGATTCACTCTGTAACAAAAAGACCACAAAAAATGTTTTCCTCTGCGCAATAATGGGCATTTCAGCTTATTCACATTTATGATTTAATTTAAATGAAGCAGAACAAACTAAACAAATAATATAATAATTACATATATTTCTTCAGTTCTGTAATCGATTAAAGGATTAATAAACTACATTGAATAAACTACATTTTAAAATAAATTAACATAGAAAGCTGTTATATTGTTATATTGTGTTAATATAAACAATAAATAAATGCCGCTTTAGTGAGCATAAAAGACTTCTTTCAAAAATACTATAGACCCCAAACTAGTGTAGCTCTTCTACTCAAGCAGGATAGTAAAAATCTATTTAAAAAAAAACACACATTCTCAGTTATTCTCACATACTGATTTATTTGCAAAACTCTCTTTTAACATTTTTATTAAAACAAATAAGGCAACACGATCCCAAAAGCTGTTCTAATTCAGGAATGGAAAGTCTAAAAGTTACAGGATGTTCCTATCTTTGTCTGAGAACTATGTGGAACACTCATATCACAAAGTGCCTGTCAGCAGAACTCCAGTTAACTCTATAATGTAGCTTTTACACATAATGCTCATAATCTCCAGTTACTTCATAAAGTGCTGTAGGGAGTCAGATGAAAAATCATTCTCAAGTATTGCTCCCTTGGACCAACATTTGGTTAAGTGCACATTAGCACATTTTACAGTCATGACCGCATTGCATTAAGATCTGTTTACATTACAGAACGTTGGCTGTAATAAATGGATCCTATAATTTCCAAACATTACAAATGAACAGGCACATAAACGCCTGCAGGCTCGAAGTCTTGAACTCAGCTCAGACTTTCACTCCTATAACTACAGGAGAATCAGGTCAGAAGTCAAACCCAATCCATAAATAAAGCTGACTGACAAGACGTCTAAAACTCAGGGTGATCGGAGTCAGCACAGCATGTTCACACTGGTCTCATCCAAGAATCAATTATGTCTGCTGCCTTTATAAGCCACGATCTACTGATAACTGCATGTATTGCCCAATATCTGCAGACTTTTCCAAGCCAAAAAAAAAAACATGTTCTGTCTTAATAGAATAGACTCCTTAGAATGAAGCAATAGAGAGATGAACTAAACTGCTGTGTTGAGCATTATTTCCTGACAAAGTTGTTTTCACGCAGGCTTTTGGATGGCAGACACTGCGGCCTTGGCGTTTCAGTGGACATTGTCTGGAAAAGCAAATTGTGTCCTCTAGTTTGTGTGCGTCTCACAAAGGCCCCTGGCCTGGCCCATGTTCCCTACAGGAAACAGCTGTGTGTGAAAACAGGGGATTAGTAGAAACGCGCTGGCCCTCTATAACAGACTGAAGCCCAACACCCCAACCCTACACACAACACACATACACGGCACATCATCATCAGAGTTTAATGTCACGCAGGCAGGAAATCACATAGATATCTGATAGCAGCGCCTGTGGCTTTTATCAATCTCTCTATAGAATATGCACACAATAAAAACATACATATGTATGTGAATATTGTATATATATATATATATATATATATACTGTATATATATATATATACACATACATACATACATACATACATACATACACACACACACACACACACATTTCTTTAAATGATTAAAAAAATATTTATTTAATTATCATTGAATAATGATATTTCAAAAATAAAAAAGTATTTCATATTTTATATATTGCCCATATATATTTAATATGGCTAATATATAACACATATTTTATATGGGCAACATATAAAATGTAAACCTTTTTTATTTTTTGAAATATAATTATTAAATTAAATAATGTATTTTTTTGTTATATGATCAAAATGGGGAAAAAATGCACAAAGCCCCCCCCCCCCAAAAATCATTTTTGTTAGCTGAAATAAATAGTTGAATTAAACTGAAATATGCTGTCATGACTCTACAACTAGCTAAACAAATTAACACAGAATTCATTTAATTTGAGATTAACACAGTATATTACAACATTTTAAACCTCATATGACCTTCATTAATCATAAAAATGCACGTATATTGTTATATTTCAGAGACAGTTAACACATTAACATGGGCTGCCCAAAAATACCACAACTAAAATAAACACTAAATAAACACTAAATATCAAGTCAATAGCAAAACTTCGAAATTAATTTATTTTCATTTCAGAGAGAAACATAGCCCTCTTCTGCAGTGATGATGTCCGGCCTTGCCTTCGTAAATATCAGACTATGTAAATAATCCTCATGCAAAACAAACAGAGCTTGATTTCCCGGTTCTTGGAGTGGGATTGCCTATTTGGTTTGGATGTGAGCATATTAATCCCCCACATGGAGCTCCTTCACCTCCAGAACTTCACAGAACCTCAGGCTGCTCCCACACTGTTGATCTAGCTGTTACCGTACACCTCACCTTTTATCTTTGCAGATAGACTATTATTATGATTTCTGAATTGGAGGAGACTAGTAGAAGGAAAATGGATGAGTGTCAGGGAACTCCGAAAACAATTTGGAGACTTACATTATGCCAGAGGTATGTTAACAATAACATGAGCTGTGTTCCTAGAAACAAAAAACTAATGCTGTAAGCCTTAATGCGGTTTAAAATTATATATGTGTACATAGCCATTTAAAAGGCATTTAAAAATTACTACTTTAATTCAGCAAAGATGCATTAAATTGATCAAAAGTGACAGACATTTATAATGTTACAAACGATTTCTATTTCAAACAAATGCAGTTCTTTTGATATTTCTATTCATCAAAAATCTATTTCTACATGTTAAGCAGCACAACTGTATTCAACAATACTAAGAAATGTTTTTGAGCAGCAAATCAACATATTAGAATGATTTCTGAAGGATCATGTGACACTGAAGACTGGAGAAATTACTGCTGAAAATTCAGCTTTACCATCACAGGAATAATTTTTTTAAATATATTAAAATAGTAAACATTTCTCTTAAACTGCAAAAATATTTCACAATATTACCTAATATTTCATATCAAATAAATGCAGCCTTGGTGAAGATAAGAGGTATCTTTCAAAAACAATACAAAATCATACTGATCCCAAACTTTTAAACTGCATAGTGTATATTAAAAATTATACGATTAACTGACAGCACTATAAAATATGTTATTTTAGTTTTAGTTTTGTTAATGTAATGTTTTAGTTCAAATGTTCTAGGTGCACATACCACATAAATTAAGTGGAACAACACTGATACATGAGTCTCTCTGGACTATCCAAATGCATCTAAAGGAGCTTCGTTCCCTCCAGAGCCTCGGCAAATATATGTATCTTTACAGTAGAGTGACACATAGCTGCTCTCAACATAGAAAATGGTCAAAATGCCACGCATGAAAAGACTGGCTAAGAAATCTGTCCACAGGTCTCTGACATCTCACATTAGTGCCAGTGCATAGTGACTACTGTTGAACAATACCATGACAGAAATGTCACTTCTGAGCATGAAGATCTATACACTCTGTCAATCTAATGCATTGCTCAGTTTCAGACCAATGATAGCCAGTCAGAAGAACAGGAACCATCTGCTCTGTTGACTCACAAGATAACCAAAATATAATATAAGCTATAGGGCCATAACTAATAACTATTAAACCTTCAGTTAATCAATTATGTCTTCGATCCAATAAAAAAAGACTAAAGATTTTAGTTCCACCATAATACTGAAAAAGCATTGTTGTCCTCCAAACAATGTGCAAATATGCTATATATTGTTATATATCCTTTAAATGTAATATTTAAATACAATAATATACGTATAAATACCACATTGTAAGAGTTGTTCATATAATCACAAATAAGCATAATAACAAAAATAGTTTGTTAGTGTGTTACTGAGATTTTTGTGCTCATAAATGTCAAGAATTCTTTAGTATAATGCCATTAAAGTTACAGTTCTTATTAAAATATGATTGCTGGCATTACATGATTTTAATTAGTTTTATTTTAAACAAATTTAATGTACAATATTGAATGAAAATGACTAAATTAATTCACTGCATTTCTCCGCTGTGCTCTAAACACTGCGATACTCTCCTGACTTTGAATTTCTAACATTTAGAAAATACAGTGAGTTATGTGCTTTAAAAAACACATGGCCACATGAAACTAACAATATGTCTATGACCTTCTCTGAAGAATTTAATATAAAATACTCTAATGGAAATTTGGTTACATTTTTTCTGATGTAGCTCAGTCACTTTTTTCATAGAAAGATGGTCTTCACTATTGTAAAGTGTCATCAATAAAGACATATGAAACTAATCGATAATTGCTGAATTGTTGATCATTTTATTATGGATTTATATTGATTTTATCAGTTAGTTGTTGCAGCCCTAGTGTCATCATTTCCTCAACTCAATATAAGTGTGACCTCAGTGGCGTGGCCTCAGCAGCAGACACAGTCTGTCAAGTCCTCTGTAATGTGAGAATGTGTAAAAAGTGTGAGACTAAGAGCCGAGCAGCTGTTTTTACAAATACTCTGCGGGTATTTTCCTCTTTTCTCTCCTGTGTCACACCTCAATCAGTTCTGCTCATATCTTATCCATCTTATCCCCTCAGGGAGACTGACCCTAGACAGGCCTGGAAACAAACCACTGACGGGTGGAATAAAAAAAAAATAGTTAAGAAAAACAGTGTGGGAGTATGACGTTTTCAACAACAGCCAAACATGCAAGGACATGGCTGCCTGTAAAGTCAGTTTTTCCTCTTCCAATACAGTGCTCCCCTTGGGTCTGTTTTCAGTAAGAACAGCCCACTCACTATCTGTTTCACAGGGGCTCAGAACTTAATATCTATTGCTAATCCTCACACTTTTCTCATGGACATGAAAGCGGTACTGAATTGTGTACTGCATCAGCATTTACTGACCATGCTGATGCAGGAATCTCAATTTGTTCAATGTCTCTCTGATTTTTCAGCATCATTACTCCAGTCTTCAGTGTCACATGATCCTTCAGAAATCGTTCTAATATGATGATTTGCTGCTCAAGAATGTTGAAAACAGTTGTGCTGATTAATATTTTTGTGTTTTTTCAGAGGTTTCTTTGATGAATAGAAAGTTCTTAAGAAATTAAATAGAAATGTTTTGTAACATTACAAATGTCTTTACTGTCAATTCGTTCAATAATGTCCTTGCTGAATAAAAGTACTCATTTCTTAAAAAAAAAAACTTACTGACCCTTAATTTTTGGTAGTGTATAATGTGGCTCATGTATTTCTCATGTCATTCCAAACTCATATGACTTTCTTTTTTTCTATGAAACACACAAAGAGACATTTTAAAGAATCACGCCTTCAATGCCATTTCAATGAATGCAGAGCTTTCAGACGGCAATAAGGTCCTAAAAGCACTATAAAAATATTTAAAAAGTGATCCCCCATGACTTATACACTATTTTTCACATTTTATGAAGTCATGCAATAGTGTTGTGTAAGAAACTGATTCAAAATGTAAATTGTTATTCATTATAAACTAATAACCATTGTGACCGAATCACACCGAAACTTGAGAACCAATTTGTGAACAAACCATTCAGACTGATTGAGTGAGCCAATTCGGTTGATTCATTGAAACGATTTGACTCCAAAATCTTTTTTTTTTTTTACAGCTGAAATCTGAAATCTCCGTTAATTGAAATTACACGCAAGCAGAGCATGTA